TACATTAGACCGTATAGCCTCACAAGCAATCAAAAAAAGTTTGCCGTACACCCCCAAGTATAGATTATTTTTCCAAGGAAATTTCGATTTCTTTTCGCTGAGTTGCCTTTTTACATTTTGCGGTTTTAGCTACAATCGGCAAAAAATTGTTTTTTTTTTTTTTAATAGTGCTATATTTAGTACTACTTTAGACATATGGCAATTCTGGCTAAGATAGTTGTAAGTCTTTTGTAAGTCAATTGAATGATTTTGTTTTTTCTTTTCTATATTTATTTATTTTTTTTTAAATTAAATTTCCTTTGAGAATTTAGATTAATTTATTTCATTTTTAAATCTTACCATTTTAAGAATAATTTTTTCAATTTAAATTAACTTTTAGAACCCTATAGTTTTCGCCTTTTTATATATTTATTTTTTTTATTTTTTAAAAAAGTTTTCTTAGAATTTTTAGATTTTATGGTTGTTAAAAGAACAATAATTTTTTCGTTAATTTCATTTAAAAATTAAGAAACTCATCCATTTTTGTTTTTTCCTCTTAATAAATTTTTTTTTTTACTTTTTAAATACTATCGTTTCATTTAATTTTTAGGAACTTATTTATTTCTTTCTTTCTTTTTTAGTTATAATTTTTCTCTTGGTTATCTTTGTTTCTCTCTGATTTTTAGGTTTTATTGTTAAAAAAATTTTAATTTCACTTAATTTTTAGGAAGTTTTTTTTTAAATATTTTGTGGTATGATTTTTTTTTAAATCTAATTTCAATTTAATTATTGGATTTTATTGTTTAAAAAAATATATATTTTTTTAATTTCTTTTAATTTGTAGGAAAATATTTTCTTTTTTCTTTTTAATTATATTTTTTTAATTAATATTTAATTTGTCTTGGTTTTAAGATGTTGTTGTTTAAAAGGAAAAATATTATTATTTTTATCTCATTTAATACTTAGGCACATATATTTTTTTTAATGTTCAATAAAGTTTTTTTTTCTTTTTTTTTCAAATAATTTTCTTTTAATTTTTGATATAATTTTTTTAAAGAGGTAAAATATATTTTCATTATTTGATTTAGTTTTTAAGAATTAATTTAATATTTTATTTTTTTTTATTTTATTTATTTTTTCTTTTTTATTTAACTTTTCTCTAGTTTTAGATTGCACTATTTTAAAAATAAAAATAGTTTTTTTTTATAATTTCATAAAATTTTTAAGAACCGATTTAATTTTTTTAATGACAATTTTTTTCTTTTATAATTAAATTTTGTTGTGATTTTTAGACTTTATTGTTTAAAGAGAAATATATATTTTTAATATATTTTGTTGTAATTTTTTCTTTTTTATTCAACAATTTTATTGAGATTGAGGCCGTATCCAAATAAAAAAAATGCTGTAGAAAAACAAAAATTATTTACACAGTGTAGAAGTTGTAGCTGCTATTGCGGAGATTACCACATCTCCTCATCAGACTGCTTCATCGAGTTCACTGATATTTGAACTCGCAACTCGCATATATTATTTTAATTTAATTTAATTTTGAGTAAACTTATTGCTAAAAGACAAACAGTGTAAAGCTAGATCTTTAAATTAGTTTTTCGAAAGGCTGAAAGAGCTTTCATAATATTTGCCAGAAATGACATTTGTTTTGTCTTTCGAAAGACTGTGGTGAGTTATAAGGTAGTTGCCAGAACTGCCATGTTAAATTCCGTAAAATATCTAGCAAAAATTTTGTGAAACCTTTTTATTCAATTAATGAAGATTCTTCTCTTGCAGATTCCATAACGACGTCAAGGGACAAAGAAAGGTAAGTTATCTCAAAATCATAAACGTTTTCCACATATAACCTAGCTCGAGTTAGCATCAGATAATTATATGAGCTATGAAAGCTGCGACAAGATTCTATAGGGAAACAAAATCATTCAACAGCCTTCTACTTTCTTAGTGATGTCATTGCTTATTCTGGCAACCAGATTTAGATTTTTCAGCACGAAATTAGTTTCGCATTTTCTTTACTTGAAAATTTAATTCTTTCCTTTCTAACCATTGATTGAGTATAAATATTCCCCTACAATATCGATCAATAACGGAGTCCGTTTAAATGTTCAAATTCTCGGATATAAACTATATCAAGTACTACTTTAAAATGCAGCTTAAGGATCGTCCCGTTATGAAGAAATAAGCGTACATATCTAAAAACATGAAACGCATGGCCCTACTATCACTGAACCTATTCTTCCTTCCATTATCTGTCAATTGCATTTAACACTTAGAACATACATCGCACATTTCGTTGTAAATTGAAATTGTAATCTTTACCTAAAAGCAAATAATGGCACAATAGTAGTAAGCGCAAGAAAATTGCACCAACACAAAAGAAAATAAAAATATCACACAAAAGATAAGAGCAAAGAACACCAAACAACCACCAGAACATCAACCGGGAAATGAAAATAATATTGAGCGAAGAAATTGAAAAATTACTCTAGTAAATAAACAATGTAATACATATGGATGGATATATGTATGTTTGTACATATATATCTAAAACTAACGTGCATGGCCGCGCTGTATGTATATTTACATATGTACATATGTATGTATCTATTTATAAAAAAGTATAAAAGGAGAAAACTAAGAAGAAAAAAATCAACTAAATATTTTTCTAGAAAATAAAGGATAATGGTAGATAACACTATACAAATCACAAACACGAATATAAAGCTTTGTTTATGAATGACAGCAGACTACAATGTGGGTAATAGTGCAACAGGCAAAAGGGGTACAGAGACGAAATTAAACATGCTTATATTGGGACTACCAAGAAATTCTCGGAACAATGTCGCGATTATCAGGACTATATCGGGATTTGCGGGACTATTTCGAGATTTTCAATGCTATTGCGGGAACTATTTTCTGGTATATTTCGGGTCTTAATGACTGCTTATTGATTTTCGGGAGTGATTCCAGAGTTTCAAAAATAAAATTTATCTGTGATTTGCTTGGCTGACCTGAGATGGGCTGAGTTGAGTTGAGGTGAGTTGGGGTGAGGTGATATGAAGTGAGTTGAAGTAAGGTAAGGAGTGTAAAGTAAGGTATGAATTGCTTCAGTTTTTCTTAAATCATAAAGTATTAAGTATGTAAGTATTTATTCATCTTGTAAATACCTAGGTACTTAATAATCTCCTAAATACTTAAGTTGTTTTTACTTTAGTATTTAGCAACTGATAAATAACTCTGTTTTTTTTTTTTACTTGATTTAATAGAGATCTGCAGGTACAGTGGTCGTTCGAAGGCGCGCCTTATTCGGAAAATCGAAAAATTAGTTTAGCCGGTTTTTTTTTTTATTAAATACAAATAATACCACCGTCTTTTCAGCTAAACCTCGATAATTTTATTTAATTTCACAGTTGCACTTCGCTTATATTATTTGAACAATTGGTAAATAATTCAAGGTCAATTATGTTAAAATAAACTATTTTATACAGATGCATAACAACAATTTAACTACCGAAAACCATGTTTAGGTTTTAAAGCGCTTTCCTCTCTTTCGAAAGACTTATTGAAAGATTTGCTAAGGAGAAGTTCTTAGCGTTATTTAGTTTGTATTTTAGCAATAAGTTCTTTAAAAATTAAATAAAAATAACAGTATATATATATTTTTTTTATAAAATAATAAAAACTAAAAATAGAAAAAAGATTTATTGCAAAAAAAAAAAAAAAATGAAAACAGCAAAATGCATAAAACATTTACAAAAGTGTGAGAAATTAAAAAATTATATCTCATCTTAAAACAATAAAATATGAAAATAAAAGAAAATTTATTAAAAATAAACTTTCTTTTTAAAACTATTAATAAATTAAAAAAAAGGAATAAAATTAAAAATTAAAAGAGTGCTAAAAATTACATAAATGAAATTA